AGGGGAGACTTAAAGCTTTATATTGTTTGGCTGCAAGAGTGCATTTTTTAAAATTAAGCGTTGACTCTTTGCTACATTATTTTATCCAACTTTCTAAACCTTTCTGGGGTGTTTATGCCATACTTGTTATACCTGATCTTTGGCGGTTACATGATTTAAATATTGCGTCTTCTTTTTTTTTTACCATCTACTTAATAACGTATAGTCTCATGGAAGGGGCTTCATTGGTTGGCTAAATATTTGTTGTGCTTTATGCGGAGTGCAATTGAAATGGACTCATGTGTAGTAATGTGCTTTACTGAACCCCAGTCCTGCTAGCTGATCAAGGATCCATCTGCACAGATCAGCCTGCATGATCAGAGCTTTACAAATTAAGTTTTTGAGACATTGTAAGTCTTCCAGTTTAGACAGGTCCTTAATTTTAATGTAAAAAGCAAGCAGGGGAACACTGTACACCAAAAAAGGCACAAACGTATGTTTTCCTCCTTTGCTGATTACCCTTAAGAAACAGAGTAGCTAATGTTTGGGGGAAACTATGCACTGAGTTGTCTGCTCATTAATCAATTACACCTATGACTCATGTTTTTCATCTTTTAAGGGAAAATGCTGTGATTTAACATTTAGATGTGACTAGTGGCCGTTGACCTAAAACATTCATATAAGATGAGTGTGTCTTTATTTTTTGAGAGGGAATCAGATACTCTAGCTCAGTGGCCCCCAACCTTTTTGTGACCAGTAGCACATTCATATTTTCAGAAGAGTGTGGCGGGCGCCAACAATTTTTCAAGGCTTATTTTGTATTTGTACATTAAATAATATGAAAAACATCATATTTATTATTACATAATATATGAATCCACAGAGAAGAGAGAAGCCGGAGAGAAGCCACGAGGACAGAGAACACCGGCGCCCGCAGCCCCGGTGTACTCTGTCCCCAGCAGGCGCAAGGCCCCGGCTTCTCTCCCCTGCTAGGCACTAGGTGGGCCCCGCGCCTGCCTGGGACTGAGAACACCGGCGCCTGCAGCCCCGGAGTTCTCTGTCCTGTCAGGTGTGGGGCCGCGGCTTCTCTCCCCTGCTGGACACTAGGCGGGCGCACATAAATGCCCCGGCGGGCACCATGGCCCGTGGGCACCGCGTTGGGGACCACTGCTCTAGCTTGTTAGAAGTTGACATAGATACATTTGTACCTTGCAGGATTAAGAGTGGCTGGTCCACATTTGCAAAGGGGGCATCAAGATACTAGATATCCTTTTTTAGAAGCATTTTGATTTTTGAATGCCTCAATGTGGTATGGATGTCAGCCTTATAGATCAGAGATGACAGGAACACTAGATACTGGGCTTTCATCATCAATTTATCTTACATATGACACAAACAGCCATCTAGCTAACTTTGAGCCACTACCAATCTGTGTTAAGGGAAAGGAAATAGAGCCAGCTAAACAGTATATTTAAATGTCTGGGTTTGTTTCTTTCTTTTTTTCCTCTTTGCAAATAAAGTGACAGACTGAAAAAAGCAGAGCCTATGGGAGAAGAAAGCAGTTAGTTTATTTTTTAGTGACAGCAAATATTTTTATTATGGTATCCAAAACCACTTGATGAAAGGGGGATGTTGTTTGTTAGCCCAAAAGAGAAGCAAAACAGCATCTTAAAAGGCTTCTTGGTTTGTTTCCAGTACATGTGTAGGAAGAAGATAATGCAAACATGAACCATTGTAGCGCTCTAGTATAAACAAAGGCCTAAATACACTACAGGTTTTATTTTCCCCTTGTCCTTTTTGATTGGCATTTCTCTTCAGGTGGTAATTTCGAGTAGCTGGTGGGGAGTACAGAGAAAGCAAATCAGAACTCTGACAGTGAGAAAATTAACCACTTAGCCCTCTAATTCTTTTCTCCCTCTTTCCAGTGTTGCTTTGTGTAATTGCAACAGAGTGAGCCGTAGCAAGGCCAGAACCCATCTAGATACTGTATTCTACTATATCCACTGCAACATGGGTATGCTTGTGCGTAAGTGCTGGCACTAGAGGTGCTGGCGGTTGCTGCAACACCTGCTGGCTTGAAGTGGTTTCCATCATATCCAGTGTTTACAGTTTGGTTCAATGGCTCTCAGCACCCCCAATTAAAAAAATGGCTCCAGCACCCCTGTGCCTGTAGCAAAGAGGAGGAGGTGGATTGAAGAGAGATGTCTGTCTCCCTAAGTCACAGAAATTCTATCAGCAGGAGCTCAATATTCACACTGACTGCCCCATCAAGCTACAAACAATTCCCTTTAAAAGGGACCATGTAAAGCAAAGTATCACTGCAATCATCCACTTCCCCAAAGCATGATCACAATAGTCAAAAGTAAGATGAATTGCCATAATCTTTGGTTCAAAAAAGGAATTTAAAATGGTCTCAAGGCGATCATGATGCCATGATTTTACTTACAGTACCGCTACCTTGACCCTACTTTATAACCTATGCCATGCTTCACCCCTGCAGCCCTATTTAGCACACTGAGCATGGGGAGGGCAAGTGTAAACAATTTCTCCTGTAACATCTGTCAAGCAAGAGATAGGCTTCCTGTCTGAATGTCACACATCGAGTGTCATGAAAACCATTTGCCAAACACTTGCACTGACTTCTCAGAACAAGCAGCACCAGTGCTCACCTCTTGTTTTCTACAAGGAAGTGTGCAGCAGCCAGCATGCTCAAGAACAAATAAATGCCTGGTTCAGCTCCAAGGGGCTTTCCCCCTTGTTTCCTCACAATACACAAAGGAGCTAATGTTGTTTAAGAACAGGGCAAGATGACAAATCTATGCATGTGCTCTACTTTGTACAGTGTCTGAACCTGCTGGTGCAGGGTTTTCTTATTAAACATTTTCTGGCAGCGGCAGTCCAAATTGGCAACCATTTTATTCACTCTGCACAGGCCCGTCGAGTTCTCTGAGAACGGCAGGGGGAAAAAATCAATTGTCCCACGGAGGGATTAACAGTCAAATTGATATTTCCTGATTTAAAGTGCTAGGCTAGCTGGCTGGCTTGCCAAAAACCAAATCCCAGCAGTGGGACAGATTCTCATTTTTCTTAAATTGGTGTATATCCGGAATAACGTCATTAGTTTCGATGGAGAAATTCGGATCTCAGTCCTGCTGATGTACATCAAGAAGTATTCCACTGAACTCAGCAAAGCTGGACACACACATAGTTCAGTAGACTGTGAAGCTGTGGGGGTTGATGATATATTTGTTTGAAATAGAACCATTAGAAGAAGTCACACATGTCAGTAACAATCAGACAGGTATCAATCAAACATTCACAATGGACCTCTAATTTTTGTTGGGACTTCTATGTGCTGCTGTAATATAAATAAGAAATACATCAGTAAACATTCTCTTTATCAGGGAACAAGATAACCTGAGGATATAGTTATAAAAGAGATGGTGCTAGAATGGATGAGCAATGTAGGTAACTGATTTAATAAGGACGCAAGTATTTCCAACCTGAAAGAGCCTTCCTGTTACATACTTATCTCCCTTACTCAGTCGGAGGTTTGCCATCATTAGGGAGGCATACTTGAAAGCTAATCTGGAGAGTTACAAGGAATTTGCAATAGAAGCTGCTACTGTGAAGTTACAATCTGATAATGGGAGAAAAACCAGACAGCGAGTCATTGTCTTCCTCCTCCTTATTCAGCCATGACTTCCTGCTGCCCTTCTTCTGTATTGAGTATTAGGGCTAAGAAATATGGTATTGTAACTGCATTAAAACTCCTCTGAAAATGTAACCTCTGACATCATCGCCAGCTCCTGGTGGAAGCCTATTTAAACGACAATAAAACGCTCAGGAAGACCCTAATTCCTACTGTTTCCTGTCATTAAAAATATATACTTCCCTGACTGTCGTAAGGGTTGTAGCGTATATAAGCTGTCGTACGGCACATATTCAGAATATGGTGTTGTTCTAGCTGAGTGATGTGGGCAAGTCGGAATTCTTTCTTTCAGAATAAATAGGCTCCATTTTGTGATTCTTTATTTTAGATGTAAATATTTTCCGCAATAAAAGTGAGGGAACATTGTTTGTATAGAACACGGGTGGCCAACCTGTGGCTCCGGAGCCACATGCGGCTCTTCAGAGTTGTTATGCGGCTCCTTGTATGGGCACCGACTACGGGGCTGGAACTACAGGCGCCAACTTTCCAATGTGCCGGGGGGTGCTCACCGCTCAACCCCTGGCTTTGCCACAGGACCTGACCCCCCCTTTAACCCCTTCCCTCCCCCCTGAGCCTGCCATGCCCTCACTCCTCCCTCCCACCCCCCCGAGCCTCCTGTATGCCACAAAACAGCAGATCGGGCGGTGCGGGGAGGGAGGGGGAGGCGCTGATCGGTGGGGCTGCGGTGGGCGGGAGGCGCTGGGAGCGGTGCGGGGGAGCTGATGGGGGGGCTACTGACGTATTACTCTGGCTCTTTGGCAACGTACATTGATAAATTCTGGCTCTTTCTCAGGCTCAGGTTGGCCACCCCGGTATAGAATGTGGAACTGCAATGAGTGATGTCCCTCCAAATCAGGAAGATTTGAAAGCTATGTTCCCGTGCTTTTATGTTGTTTATTTAAGTTCTTTCTAATTTATAGCACTGTTTGAAAAACACAGTAATCAAATTTCATATGAATCTTTCAATTTTATTTTATTATTACTGGGGGTTTTTTAATTTGGAAAAAATCTAAAATTTTTACTACTTTTTTCAAGGATCAAACATTAGGCAAACAAGAACTGGTCAGGGAACCCCCCCCCAAAATTGACACAAATTTTTATCTGAAGTTTTTGGGTGTTTTGAAAATTGTGTTTTCAGGGAAAAAAATCATCCTACTCTCAATCAAAAACTTTCAACTACCTCTACTAATCTGTAAACTCAAGGGACCTTTTCCTCCTACCTTTCTTTATACCTGCTATTTCTGTATCATGAACATGCGCCATCTTCTCTACTTACACACAACAGACATATGGTAGGCTAAGATTTAGGTAACAATAAGAACTTGGTTTATTCATGAATAATACTCAGAAGATAGACTCCTTGCCTGGCTTATGTCTGCCTACAAGGAACTACCTGTGTCACTCCTGCTTTATCTTCACTGCAAAAATGGGTATTTCTACATAAAGATTATCATCTCGATGTAAAATCCTCATGGAGATAAGGCACAGATAGTTTTTACCCTGATATAGCTAATCAAAGTCAATCGTATTCTCTCCACTACCAGGTGTTTACCTCTTAGCCATCTCAGTGAAAGACTTTAGCGGAGACAAGGCACTGTAGTTTTTACCTTGGACTAACTATCTCAGGTTAACTATTCAATGTAAAAAACACACTTCTTTTTTTTTTTTTACAGGAGAGAGACATAGCCTCAGATTGAGAGGAAGATACACAGAAAGGTTACAAACATATTTCCTTTTAGAGTTTGGCAAGAGTACCTAAGCATGATTTTTCTTTCATGTTAAATTCAGATGGGCTCTGACTGTGTAATCTTCCCTTTGCTCATGGTGATAGTATAATTTTACATATAGAATCACAGAATAGTAAATTAACTGTATCAACTGGAAATAAACTTCATTATGGCTCCCACAGGGGGCCTGATCCAATCTCTCTGAAAGAAATGCAAAGGCTCCCCTTGACATCTCTGGTCAGACCCTTGCAGCTTTCAAATTATTTTTCTTTCCCCCTGTATTGTCTGCACAAGGAAACTGCACATATCTTAAGTCTGTTTATTCCAGTTGTCTTTGTCGTTTTCTTCTCACTATTCCAAGAAGTGTTGGAGGCGCACCTAAAATGTAAAACCAAACAATTATTATGTCGGTTAAACTTTATTATCTTAACAATGTAACACAGAAGTGTGGCAATGCTTACTTCTCAAGTTTACATTAGATAGTAAGGACCAAATTTAGTATTGGGGCAACTCGGTTGACTTCTGTGGAGTTGCAACCAGTTATACCAGAGCTGAATTTGGCCCCATTTCTATAAAACATCCATTAATTTTCATTTGCAGTCTGATCATGTCATAATTCACTTTAATATTCACATGCACTAACCCAAGGGCGTGTATAATTATTACTCCTGTTTCATCATGTAAGGGGAAAAAATCACATTTGAATAAAAGTGTGTGGAGAACTTGTTGCTTTGTTTATATGAAGGTGTTTACAAGCGATTAGCTAGAGGCCTTCCTAAATGAGAGAATTCTGTATGCACTCCAGTAGTCAGCACAATTCAAACCTGATGGGATCATTCACAGAACTAATGTGACTGTCAATAAGTGCAACTTATTTGAAAGAGAGGGCGGTAGTGAAATATTGTGAATATGATGCAAGGAATGGAAAGCAAAGGGGAAACCCTAGTGGACATAAGCTATAGACCAACTTGTCTGGAGAACTGTGATAAAATATATCTTAAACTACTATCCAGTGCCACTATACTCATGAGGCACTTTAACTATGCAGTCATCTGTTGGGAAACAAAAGTATCCAAACATGCATTAGCAACTAATTTTATAAGTTACCTACAGGACATCTTTATGAGCCAGAAAGTAGAGAATCCAAGCAGTGGAGCGTGAACTAATTGAATTCAGCATAGGCTTGAATTGGTACACAGAAGGAAGCATTAAAAGGGGCATTGCTTTTTAAGAAAGCAAATCATGGGAGAATGAAGAAATCTAGCACCTGATTGAAAGCCCATTGAAGTCAATGGAAAGACTCCCTAGTGGGGTCTGGAGCAGGCCCTTATGAGAGTATGCAATTGAAGGAAACTTAAGAGACATGGGTGTAGAGGAATGATGAAGTATCCTAAAAGCCATCTTAGGCTCAAAATAGGATTTGGTGTTAATTAAAGAAGCATATTTAGCTGTGACATTCTGTGTTCGTTTCCCAGTCCTGAAGAAGAGCTCTGTGTAAGCTTGAAAGCTGGTCTCTCTCACCAACAGAAGTTGGCCCAATAAAAGATCTGACCTTACCCACCTTGTCGCTGCTGGAAAAGCATTCAGTAAGCGTTGAATGAGCTATTTCCAATAACACGTAGTTAGAGCAAGTACTGTATGTGTTACCCTTTACACCAGTTAGTGATACAATTAGACCTTCAGTGTTCCCACGTACACATTTTTATCCTTTTCTAATTCATGTGATTTTTAAATAGCTGTAAAAATAACTATTAGAAACATAACAATTATCAGATTGTGGCTTCTGCTTATTTATCATATTTCTAAAGAAAAGGTTCTAAAATGCAGTGTCCTATAGATTAGGGAGAGATACCTTATGTTTGTGTTTAGAATTAGATCTTCTTTCTTCAGGTAGCAAGATCCCATATTTTGCATAAATGCAGGTGCCAAACAGCTAAATTATTCAGGGCCAAATATTTCCTTTTAGGTCATTGTTATGGCTGGCCAAATACATTTCCTCCCTCTTCATAATGAACGGGAGATACTGAGCTTAACTTCACCTTATCTGAAGAAGAAAGGGCAGCAAATTGGCAAAATGTTCACTTCATCCTGTGTCTCTCTCATGCAAAACAAGATTTTGAACACGTGTGACTGAACATGCTCGTGACTTCACTCAGCCAGCTGTTCCCATTCTGTTGAGTGTTGTCAATACCAACTCCTTTTCACATCGTACTGGGTCCTGTGATAGGATTTCTCTTGTTTTGGGACACAAGGTATAGTCTGGTCTCTCTGGCTTAAATTTTCCGTATAAACTCCAATTATACTAAGCCTTGTTTGGGGATAGGGAAAGCGTACAGCATCCTGAAGCCGTCAAACTCCGCTTCTTCTGCTGGAAGACTTCAGAGTTCGTGATATCAGCAGGGCCTGCGAAAGGTTTGGAGATATAAACTGGTGTAGCTTCATTGACATCAATGGACCTTCACCAATGAGCTACAGATCTGGCCCTGAGTTTGTAGCCTTCCCAGTGTCCATGCAAAAGGTCCTGTTTGGCAGCGCTATCATGTATTATGCACTTTGCTTTACTGTGTGGAACTGGGAACTTCATGCTGATGCTCCTGCCATTCTTCTTCATCTTCACCAAAGCAAAACAGGACGAAATTTGTTGGGTGGAGGGGGGCTGGGTTGAGCCTTTGCAGAAGCATGCGGCCTCTACAGCTGCGCAAACAAGCAGGGGAGAAGGAGGGAGTCTTGGCCATTGAGCACCAAGCCAAGCAGCTTGCCTGTGTTAATGAGCTGTTGAGCTGTTTGTTTACAAGCGCTGCTAGGCTCTGTTTGCCGCTAATTTAGTCATTACCGTTCCTTAATGTCGTTATATAGCTGACAAACACTTTAGCAGAGAGGGTAGGGCAGGCTACTGAGCAGTTAACAGTAGCCAAGGCTCAAGTCTGCACCTAATAGGTGGCAAAAGTTAATCTGTAGGTACTCAACTCACCCCTGAATGGGTGTGCTTTTAGTGCTGTTGGCATCAACGGGAGCAAGTGAATATCCTATCTCCTGAGTATCTTGCAGGAGGCCTACTTTGACGGTACAGAAGAAAGAAAAGACATAGGTTCTGGGATATGCACAGGCTGTAGAGAGTAAAGATAATAAATCAGAAGGGTTCTCCCAGAGTATTAGTCACACTGACAGAGACAAGAGGATAGAGAGGATGCTCAGTGGTCTCTCTCAGGTCATTTTTGATGGCTTATTCCGATTTGGCTATCACTGAGGTTTTAGATGGAATATACTAGAGATGGTCACAACCCAAACCCAGATCTAAATACCTCCTGAACTTTGGGGAAAAGCTGAACTCAGATCCATACCATGTGTCTGGCTCCCATCTGCATAACAGCCCAAACCAAAACCCTGGACCTGGGCAGGGGTGCTGAAACAATGTGTATAGTGGGGGTGCTGAGAGCAGGGCCAGCTCCAGGCACCAGCTAAGGAAGAAGGTGCTTGGGGCGGCCAATATAAAGGAGCAGCACTCCGTCCACTATTGGGGCAGCACGTCCGGGTCTTCGGTGGGAATTCGGCGGCGGGTCCCTCAATCCCCCTCTTTCTCTTTGAGCTGCCGCCGAAGAGGAAGAGAGGGAATGAAGGACTCGCCGCCGAAGTGCCGCTGAAGACTGGAGTGGCATGAGTAAGCTCCTGCCGAAGTGCTACTGATCGGCTTTTTTTTTCTTTTTTCCACCGCTTGGGGCGGCAGAAAACCTGGAGCCGGTCCTGGCTGAGAGCCATGGAACCAAACTATAAACCCTGCATATAACGGAAACCACTTCTAGCAGGGGATGCAGCAGCACCCCCAGCACCTCTAGTTCCAGCACCTAGGGACCTGGGACTGTATCTGAACCATTACTACTCAGAGTCTACCCTGTAACCTACTAGTTACTGTATTAATGCTGCAGTAGTATTGAAAACCCATCTCACTGCGTGTTTCACTAGATGGGCAACAGGTGACATTGTTCGAAAATCCAGTTAGTATTATAACACGCACTGGTGCTAAAAAAATTTCTTTTGAACGTGGCACCAGCCATCTGTGGGCCTATTGGCATATAAAAATAATGCTGCAGCAAATATCTCTGCATGTGCTTGTGTGTAAAAATGCAGCTCCAAATACAGTATTCTTCCCTGTGTATAAAGACACCATGCCTAATACTTGTGCCTGTAAATATTGGTACCAAATCACAATAGGTGAAATTCACTCCAATTCGTGTCTATGCAAGGCCCTCTGCAATGCTTATGCCCCACTTAAACCCACTGGATCAGATCCACAAATGGCCTACATCAGCCTAGCCCCATAGACTGAGGGTCTAGCCCTTAAAGTGGGCCAGAGTGCTTTGGAACTTGGAGCCTGGGAACTAGAATACATTCTACCCAAAACCTGATAGGGGAGAAAGAAATAACACTTTTGTAGGGGGTACCTAGTATCAAAATGACACCCACCCTGTCTGCTGCAACATTTCATGTTTATTTACATATAGGGTTGATAGGAGGAGTTTACGTATATGTCCCTATGTGATCATCAGTTGTAGGGTCTTCATGCCTGTTGCTGTTTACACTATGGATACGTCTTTACTTACCTTCGGGTCCGGTGGTAAGCAATCGATCTTCTGGGTTCGATTTATCGTGTCTTGTCTAGACGCGATAAATCGATCCCAGATCCATCCCGGAAGTGCTCGCCATCGACGCCGGTACTCCTGCTCCGCGAGAGGAGTATGCAGAGTCGAAGTGGGAGCCTGCCTGCCGCGTCTGGACCCACGGTAAGTTCGAACTAAGGTACTTCGACTTCAGCTACGTTATTCACGTAGCTGAAGTTGCGTGTCTTAGTTCGAAGTGGGGGGTTAGTGTGGACCAGGCCTATGATGAGGAGGAGTGCCCACTGCAGTCCTCTGATAGTATTGAAACATGTCTTTGTCCAGCTAGTTTGCTTCTCTCCTTTCCTCTTCTACTACTACCGTGCCACCTATTGCCCACCTCCTCGCGGAGTGTCCCGACCAGTTTTCTGCTGCCTTAATTCCACGTCCTCTATCCTACGGCTATTTCTTGGTGACATTTCTAAGCATTTCACAATACGAATGACAATTTTGTGGGGGAAGATTTTGTGTGAAGGGGAAGAGAAGCTTTAGACTGAAAACAATGAAGCCCACAAATTAAGTCTGTGAAGATGCTGGGGGTTAAATGCTGTGATTTGTCCCATTCAGATGTTTTCTCACCAAGTTTGCAAAGCCCTGGTTGGCAATTCCGCAGAGCTCATGCACAGAAGGGAAGTGGGGGTTAAAGGAAGAAATCTGGTAGAAGAATGCGTCCTTTGTGCAGCAATGTTATGCCTTTAACAGATTTATACTGAGTTACTTAAGAACATATCAAATGCCAGCAACTGGACTGAAAAAAGTGAATCACTCTGAATTTTAATTTTAAAATGTTAATAGGCGTTGATCCTGACTTCTACCACACATCACTGTTACAAGAGATATCTCTCCTTCCACAACAGTTACTGCTGCTGTGTTCTGTCTTTTCAGGGTCTTTATTGTGTTGGCCTTTGTAATTGTTTTGGCTCTGTTTGCCATGGCAGGGGCTGACATTCATGGTCCATGAAATCATTATCTGAGCAAAGAGCACTGCTGTTTCATCACAACTATAAATAGTGGAGCTTTTTAGTGAAGCTTCCCCTTTGGATCATTGAGTTACTCTCTCGACCAAATGCCGTGAATGAAACTAAGGAGGATGACAAGCATTTTCCCCAGTGCTAATAGCATTAAGAGTCGTCAGTGCTGATGCTAAGATGTTGATGAATAAGAGCTAAACCATCTTAATGGATCTTGAAATTTCACTGTAATTCCCTCAACTTCAAAATGGCGTCCATATGCTAATAGAAGAGCCACAAAACTACCTTGGCAATGGACCTTCAAAGAACTCCTTCCTACTACACTCCAATCAGAATTCTATTCATCATGATAGTATTTTTTTTTATTGAGCCCATGGGTAGAATTTCATCTAAGGCACAGCAACTCTAGCAATGCTCTAACCTTAGCCGGTAATTAGTTTAGTACATCGATTCAATGCAAAGAAGGGAGAGTAATGCCAACTAAGAACCTCACTCAGGAAATAATTGAAGCCTGGACTTAAGTCCACCCCCATGCCACAAAGCACTTAAGCACATACTTAAATATTTTGCTGAACTGGGGCCTAAGTCATCAATATCACTTCCTGTAGCAACTACAGTAGGCATAATATGGTTTCTGAAGCAGCCATCCTAAATTCTGCAACTGTCTCTGGCTATTTTTTCCCTCTTGTCACATTATTCACAGTACATTTTACACATTTTAAAAAAGATTAAACATCTGCTGAAAGGCCCCAGTGAAATTATACTTCAAGGAGGATTGGGTTCTTTTAATTTGTTTGTAATTTTAAAATTCCTATTTAATACAAATTCTATATAAACCAGAGGACATAAACTTATCTCCATACATACACAAATACATACATATATACACATACTCTTCTAGATGGACTTATATGACTCATATTAATGCTAATGGGAGTATTTATGCATCAAATGAAAACTGCATATTCTAAATATTTGATTTATTTTTTCAGTCCTGAAATCTAGCTTTCTAATAATCTACTGTTCATTCTCTGTCAACCTGCAAAGACATCCCCATCTGTCCTCTAACTGCTTGATCCAGTTTGAATTAATATGCTCCATACAAATCAGAGACATGCTCTCAAAATCCTGGTTGTGTAGTAATAAAAATCACGGCATGTATGTGAGAAGGACGAAGTGTGATTTTGTGGTTAAAGCATTGAATTATGCCTAAGAACAAACTGTGGGTCAGGACTCCAAAGCGGGTCGCGATCCTGTTTTAATAGGGTCGCCAGGATTGGCTTAGACTTGCTGGGGCCTGGGGCAAAAACCGCCCGAAGTCTGAGGGCTTCAGCCCTGCGCGGCGGGGCTCAAGTTACAGGCCCCCTGCCTCAGGCTGAAGCCCTGGGGCTTTGGCTTTGACCCCCCAATCCAGGGCGGTGGGGCTCGGGCTTTGGCTCCCCCGACCTGGAGTGGTGGGACTAGGGCGGGCTCAGGCTTTGGTCCCCCTCCTTCCTTGGGGTCATGTAGTAATTTTTGTTGTCAGAAGGGAGTTGCGGTGCAATTAAGTTTGAGAACCCCTATCTAAGAAGATCTGAGTTCAATATCCGGCTCGACACTGATTTCTTGTGTGAACCCGGGTAAGTCCCTTGTGCCTCTGTTCTTTTGTGTGCCTTGTATAGTTAGATTGAAAGCTGTCTGGGACAGAGCCTGTCTGAGGGACAGATCTTGTGTTTGACAGTGACTAGCACAGTGGGGTCCCAATCTTGGTTAGGGACGCCAGGCACTATAGTAATAAAAGTAGTAATAATCAGGAACTGCAGCCTGGCCTACCACCTTCAGCCTATGATTTTTTCAGCTAGATAGTGTTGGTTCAATTCTTTGGATGAGAAGGCTCAAATAAAATCTGGAGTGGCATTGGGAATGGTGTTAGTGAATCTCCTCTCTGGAACCAATGCCCCAATATGGGACTAGAGGAGTCAAGATACCTATAGAAATATAATCTTTCAGACAAGGTGTAAAAGTGAGAGCATGTGTGTTTGTGATCACATGCAGCTTTTTGGAAGGGTAGCAGTGTTAAGTGCAGCAAAATGGCCAAATTCAAATTTGGTTAACTACCTTCTACTTTCCTGAAATCCCCCATCTAGTTATAATTGACAATAATCTTCTCATTCTGTCTTAAACTATTGCAGAGTCTTCCTGGGCACTTTTAAACATGGGCTACATTTCCAAATGGAACTGCACTGTAATGGTGAGATCAGGAGCGCCGCCAGCTTTTCTGCCGCCCTAGGCGGCGGAAGGTCCCTTCCTGAAATGCCACCCCCCACAGAGGCGGCGGAAGGTCCCTTCCTGAAATGCCGCCCCCCACAGAGGCGGCGGAAGATCCCGCCGCCAAAATACCGCTGCGGTCGCCGCCCCCCAAATTGTAGTGCCCTAGGCAACCGCCTAGGTTGACTAACGGGTTGCGCCGGCCCTGGGTGAGACAAGGAAACCCCCACATAGAGGCCTCCATCTTGGAGACATTTAAGCAATTCCCATTGATTCCCCCTCAGGCGAGCAAAGTTACTTACATACTTCAGGGTTTGAGTTGTCACTTGTGAAGCTTGGGGATCCCTCTGAATGACAACGTTGTACAAATGTAACGTCAGTGTCGTTCTTGTATGCTTTCCATTAGCTTATAAAGCATGGTGTGATACAGTAAGGAGAAAAGAAGTGATATTAAACAAAAAAAAGATGACCTTTTTATTCCCAAGTCAGCATATTTACACTAGACCTTTTAAAGAGGGCCTAAGAAAACATATTTTTTAAAAAATATAAAATCAATTGCTACATTTTTTAAAGGAAAATCATGCAAAAATGTATCTACACACATCAAACTCACTGACCTTTGGGTATAACATCCTGTGGTCACGTACATGAAAGCACAGGGAGCTATATTATCTCCACTGATTTGCATCAGAAATTAAAAGGTATCCCGCAAAGGAATTGGCATGCTTTCCGTTGGGTACAGTACATTAGGTAGGTTTGGATGTCATTCAGCAAAGTGAGCAGCAGCACTCTCGGAGGTTGTTTATAGTTTTCCAAATGGGATAAGGTTCCTTCTGTAATGTTCTGGAACCTTCTTTTAAAGAGCTTTCAGAAGGAACAAACAAAAATAATATTTTTTACAGATGAGAGGGATCTGATTCCATCCCATTCACACTACACGCTTTACCTGTTTTGTAACTAGGCAAAGTAACAACTGTCCTGGAACTGGATCCCTTAATTCATTGTGTTTGTAGTGTAGATGAGCCCTTCCTTGGAAAGGGACAGCATGACTGGCATGAGCCATTGACTTAAGTACCCCTTAATGGTTTAATGCCTCCACAGTGGCTTTGACCAAAGAGGTGGGGATCTAATTAGGTAAATTACAGGGACCCGAATCTACTGCGAGCCGGCTAGAACAGCTATATCCCCAATGTCTTCTAAGTGTCATGAATTGGGACGTGGGCAGTCATGCCTAGTAGTTGGAGCAGGAGCCAGGAGCTAGAGTCGGGGGTCAGAGCCAGAGCCAGAAAGCCAGTAGGGAGCCAAGTGGTCAGAACCAGAGTCAGAAACCAAAGCCAACAGTCAAAGCAGGAGTCATGAAGCCAGTAGGGAAGCAGGGCAAGAGTGGACGGGGCAGGACAGGAGCAAGGCTGGGAACAAGGCAGAAGCAGGGCAGGCACAGGAGGGATCACAGCTGAGGGCATGCACATTGAGCAGCCAGAGAACAGTTGTTGCTGTTGGGTTTAAGAGCAGGGTTGCTGACTCCCTCGGCCAATCAGGCGGAGAGGTCAGGCAGGCAGCTCTGCTGCGCTCAGCTGTGCTCATGTGCTGCCTGGGGACTGGGCAGGCACAGCTGCACGTCCTCATTCCCAACACTAAGTAATTGAGAAGCAGGGAGCAACAGGAGATGAAGAGTAATGCTCCCCGAAAACAGTGGTAGGGAAATTATCTACTTAGCGTGATTCGCATTGTGAGATTGTAAAATATACAGGAAGAGGCCGGTGCCAAGCAACACATGGTAAGACTAGACCACAGTGTCCATGAGATGGGATTTTAAAAGCATCTGAGTGACTTTCAAGCACGTCTCATTGGCTTTCAATGCTACATGTGTTCGTAAGTCACTTAGACTACTTACACTACAGATGCTATAGCAGTAGCAGTGCTATGGCACTGCAGCTGTGTAGACATTTGCCTCACTGATGGAAGGGGTTTTCCATCGCTGTAGTTAATCCATCCCTCCAAGAGGGAATAGTTAGATTGACAGAACAATTCTTCCATTGACCTAGAGGTGTCTTCACCAGGGCTTAGGTCTGCTTATCCCTGAGTGACACAGTCAGGTTGACCTAAGTTTTAGGTGTAGACCAGGCCTTGGACACTTCTGAAAATTCTATCCCATATTGCTAAGAGATGTATTGTCCTGAATTTATCTAAAAGATGTATGTGTTTATCAGCTTTCATGCCCCACCCCCAGCACTTCAAATGACTTATAATGAATGTTGTCTACCCAACATGAAATAAATGTTTGAGACTCTGTGCTAAAAACAAGTCCTGAACTAGAGTAAATCGACTGATTTACAGAATATTGAATCTCACTAGGAGTAGTTTGCATCATTGTGCTGTGGATTTTATTCAATCTGAAATAACCTTCTCATGCTCCCAAATATAAATCGGTCAGTTGTTGCTTTACTGAGCTAGACATATGGTAATTTTTTTAATAGGAAGGGACAACAAAATTAAAAATAAATATTTGTGCTCTATTCTCCTCCAGAGGAACACTAACATTGTTCACCAACCATTTCTATCATATACTAATGCTACTAATTAAAGCAATCTCCCATTAAAATCTTTCAGTCGAGATTATTAGGATTATAGGGTTACAGTTATTCCAGTACAGAAACCAGTAGATTACATGTACTGCAGTAGATGATAGTAACAGCCACTCTAGCTATTAGAACCAGTACCCTACTAGATTTCAGGAAGAATAAGCAAGGCACTGTATTTTGCACCCACTGGACTGTCAGAAATGCCACTATTGTCTGCATTGTATTTATTCTTGCTTCCTCTCCACAATAGCCCATCTCACTGTATATTTGCCTTCTTTGTCCAGCTTGACATTTGGTCCCACACCCAGTGGTGTCTGGCTTGAAGGAAACCAAGTAGGAGTTGGTCACTTGTGTGTTTTAAACACCTCCACTTGATACTGCGCAGCAAGGCATTTCTGAATGTCAGATGGTCACCCACTGTGGAAAGGAAACCACAACCATTCCACTTCTATGGGCTGTCCATATACAGTAAGGTGCATTTACACGGCGTACTATAAACACGAAACCTACAATTAAATAGGAAAAATTAAGTTGCCAAGCAGTAAATACTAAAAAGGCACCTACTTCAATAGTGTTCTGTTTCAGACTGCTCAGGTTAGCCTGAAAGGACAGAAAGGGTGCGAAAGGCAGGTCACAGCTATTTCCAGAAACGGTGGAAGTGATTTCTAGCCCCTTGACGCCAGGACTTGGAATTTCCAGACACTAAGATGCACTAATGTAAAATGGATCGGGTGCCAAGGAGTTCACAACTATCATTAATTCAACCACAAAAGGTGCATTTAAGGTCATATTAAGGGCTTGACTTAAACCCACAATAGCAATTAAAATCAGTTAAGGCTGAAAATCTGTGTTGACACCCCAACCTTCAATCATGCTGATGGGCAATGAAAAAATGCACCATGGGAGAAACTGAGGTCAAAGTGATTTAACTGTGAAGGACCTGGTCTTTCTGTGTTTAAATCTTACACTTAAAGCTTCTTAAAATGTAGGGGTTCTTGTGATTAGATTAGCTTTGATTTATCTTTATATAAATCCTAACCCCCAAACCAAAATAGTACAGTAACTGTTACTTACAGATCATTGTATAGTCTCCCTAATTACACTCATTTCCCCAATAGCCATTATGCACAGTCAGTTAAACACACAGTTGAAACACCTTAAATTGCATACTGTGGCCCATACTGAGTAAATAAATAATTAGGGGGTTATTACAATGCAAATTCCTGGACTGAAGGAGCAATTCAGAAGAGGAAAGTACATTAGTTCATGACTTATTGACCATATCAGCTGTAACAGCTCCTTCAGCATTAATGTGAGTGCCACTGAGTCAATAGATACAGCAGAAATGCGGGGCGGGGGGGTTGATCAGTTCTGAATTACTCATAGTTTTTAGCTCTGGAGTTCCTGACCTGGTGGGTTGTAATGGCTCAGGAGGCATAAGTCTTCTGGATGCTCAAACTCCCACAAAATCCAATAACCTTTTACTATATTTGGATGTTTATAACTCAAAACTGGTCCAAACTTTTTCAAATTCAGTCAATAAAATCAAAATAAATCCCTTTGATCAGATTCATATCAGGAGAATGCTGAGAGAAAATTGGGGCTAGATCTTCAGCTTATGGAAACTGACATAGCTCTATTTGCATCAGTGATTTCCACAGCCAAGGATCTGTCCCATGTGATACAACTTGGTACCAAATTCAGCTTGGGGAAAGCCAACTTTCAGATCAAGTTTTCATTTTTGCACACCCATTTTTGTACCTATAACTGGTCAGTTTGGCAACCAACTACTCATTCTGCATATGCAAAATAATAATAATTAATAGCACCTAGTTCTTATTAAAATATATGTGTGTGTCCATCTGTGCAGGAGCACAGGTAGTTGTACATTTGCAGCTTGAAGCTGAGTGAAAATTTGGCTAAGTTAAATTGTTGCAATATTTTATTTCAGAGCTGCTTCTTTCCTGTTTAAACATACAGAGCCAAATTACGCCCCAGGTGGGTTCTCTTCCATGCTCCACCATGGATTCAGCAAGGCATTTCAGCACATGTGCAATTCCACTGAAGAGAAGTCAAGTATGGAAAGCATGTTCAAGTATCTTCCTGAACTGGAGCATAGATATCTGTACATACATCCTTTCCCCCAACCCCAAACACATACTACATACATGCTATTTGGATTGTACTGGGTTTTTTTCACTACTTATGTTCTCTGAGACCTATATTATTCTCTAAATACAGTGATTTTGTAGTTTCCTTGTTTCTACAGAGACGGGGCCAAATGCTGAAGGCTTATATACTATTACAGTGTAATGTAGTGTAGAGTGTGTGTATGAAAACTTTTACTACAGGATTTATGCTTTGTCACCAATTCATTTGGTCCTGTACAAACTACAACTAAAATGTCACATATTAACATTCACTTTCCATTGCAAATAGACAAATTGTCCATAAAAAAGCTTAAAATTAAACTGAAATTCTACATTCTCTTGAAACTTTTTATTGAGATTTTGGGGGAAATTCTGACATATTTTCTCCATAATCATCTTCAGATTCTTTTGCTAACCTTGACTATAGCTTTGTTGCAATAACTTTTCTCTGATTCTGCGTTCTTTGCCATGATGGCAAGGATTGACTGTCCAATCAAAATTAGAGGAAAAGTTCCAGGGTAGAGTATTTTTCCTTGTTACAGCAATTACATGAAAGTAATAGTTACAAATTGCCGAAAACAAAATTCCTCCCGATTTAATTAATTAAATAATTGATTGCATTAGGGACTGGAACAGAACAATTGGTTCCTTATCTTGAAATAAGAATTTCAGCA